AGTAGTCCATCTGCTGATAGGAATCCTGCAAGAAAGCCATAACTGTTTGCTGCTCAACAGTTGGTATCAAAAGAGTCAATGGACTCTTTGCAATCTCATACATTCAGTTCAAATCATAAAACTAGCAAAGTTGACTTTTTCTATCCTTTTCTATCTCAAACATGAAGGTAGATTACAATGGTTTGAAATCAGCAACATCCAATATTGTCCTATCTTTAACTGGATTTTCTGCTTCAATGGCTTTGCAAGCTTCTTTGATGTAAGACAATCTTTGAAAGGTATAGATATTTGTGGTTATGTTTTTACTTTTGGAACTGGCAATTAAATCGATTATTTTGAAAGGAGTAGAATTATATCACAAATTGCACTCTATCCTGCAGACTTTAGTGGAAATTAAACTTAATAAGGAAACAATATACAGTCTTCTGTAGATTATTTTTCTACATTTTTAATATTACCTAATGTAAAATAATTGCTTATATGTGGAAGAGTAGAAATATAGGCAGCTTCAAAACAATTCTTTTGACATACTAGATAGTTGCAGCAGTGTAACTTAGTACCATTTTCCCCATTACAAAGATAATCAGATATTATCAGTAAAGAACACTGGCCCAATATTACAAGTCATACACATACTGCTATGTTTCAGGAAGACTGCCACTATAAAAAGTGGTTAACTTGTCCTATTAGAAATTTCCCATAGACGGCTACTTTCTGAAACATCTCATCATGTTATGGTTTGTCATACTAGATCAGTGGTTCTCAATCTGTGGGTCGGGACCCCATTTGGGGTCGGACGACCATTTCACGGGGGTCGCCAAACAACGCAGTCCACCATTTTTTTCCCCTTTTCCTTAGCTGTGCTACTCCCTTTTATTCTATTGGCTTTTGAAAGCCAAAAGGAATTGTCCAGGCTGTCTCTGCCCTGCTGAGCCCGCCAAAAGTCCCATTCTGCAAACGGTGCTGCACCAGTTGAGTAGTCCTCGACTTACGACCGGTTGAGTAGTCGTCAACTTACGACTGGTTGGGGGTCGTGGCATTAAAAAGGTTGAGAACCACTGTACTAGATGAACTAAAGGAGGGTTACTTCAGGCCTAGCTAATTTGCTTGTTCATTGATGCTTACAAATACAGAAAGACAGAAGACCAAAGCCTGTCTTATTGTTCTTGTTAATCTCTTATAACAAGACCATAGCAATAAATTACACATTCAGTAGCTGTTTGCAAATATTCAAATACCCTTGATTACAGAGAGGTGAAAAGACCAAGTATTAAATACATTCAGCATGCAAGATAATAGTTTCCAGAATTTTGACAATTTGTGATCTGTTAAAAGAATTTATTTTATTATAAATAAAAGTTAAAATATACATAACTACATATGAAAATTTAGGTCTGTAGAATTGTCAGATTTCTTCAATAATTTAAATTAATCCTGAGTACAGTGATTTGTGTGTGTGTGTGTGTGTGTGTGTGTGCGCGCGCGCGCACGCGTGCATGCACACGTGCATGGAAATGGATCTTGATAGATAGATATGAATGAATGAATAAATGATCCATTTCCATGCAAATTAACCTCCTGGGAACAAGGTTAAATTTCTGCAAATTTAGAAAAACCTATTTTTTAAATCACATTTCTTTTCATCATCTGATTTGAGCCAGAAATATTAAAGTTCTGTCTGCTTTAACAAATGAAGCAAGTGAATGAATAAATGGGCTTGAATAAGGAACTAGATGAAAACTGAGTGGCAGGAATATCTCCTTTCAAAGAAATGAAGGAGTTTGCTTTTGGCAAACTGCTAATATTAGCTGCACAATTATCTATAGGAGAAATTGCATCTGGAAATGGATATGGTTAGTGGTCTACAGTTGCCTATATTCTGTTGCTTTTTAAAACTAAGTATTTTTAAATTGAAAAATAGCAGTTTTTTAACTTCAGGCAAATATGCTGGAAATTTCTATAAGTGGTAGGATTATATAATAGTTTCTTATATAGGAAAGTTATATAGGAAAAAAAGTTACATAGGAAAAAGAGGCTGTTTAATTTTAACAAACTTGAATAACTTTTTATGGGTTTACATATGATGCAAAGGTAAATGGCATTTATAATTTGTAACAATAAAGACATAGGAGATAATGTGAAATAAAGTTAAACCACTCATTTTATCGACATATTAAGGATCAAATGCCCTTAGAGTTAAAACAAATGAGCCTTCACTGAACGTAACATTAGGAAAAATACCAGAATATGCATCAGTTGTCAAAAATATCCATGATATGAGATGGAAGTTCATTTACTGCAGACCTACACACTTCTCAAAACTCCCAGTGCTGATGTCCAGAATTCAATTTGGATTCAGAAATGAAGGAAAACTAAGGAGGGCAAATATTTTCCTAGCCACTGCTTTTGCCTTTCCTTCTAAAGGCGACCTATCCTGTTGGGGTTAGGCCAGGGGTCAGCAACCTGCAACAGTGAAAGAGCCACTTGGATCCATTTCCCTCACAAAAAAAAAATCCTGGGAGCCGCAAAATGTGTGCGCGCACACGCGCGCGCACGCGCATGCGCACAGAACACAGGGCTTGATTGAAGAGAGGAGCTTAAGGCGAAACGTGCGCCTGCCCTGCCCCCCATCCAGCTCTGGTATGAACGGCTCTGCAGTCCTGGCTTCTCTTCCCTTCGGAAAAGACTGCTCTCCCCTCACCCCGCGCTCTCCCTCTCTGGGACTTTCTTCTTGCTGCCTTTTGGCGCGAAGGTTCCCAGGGAGCGGAGGAGGAAGCCGACGGAGAGAAAGAGCTGCTGCAGTGAATGTTCTGAGGCAGCAGAAGACGGTCGCTCGGGCTCGCCTATCTCAGCCTGCTGCAGGAGGCTGGAGTTGAGGCTTCTGGTTTGCTCTGGGAGGGGTGCTTGGAAAAGGGAGGATGGGAAGCGGAAAGTGGGAGAAAGGACGCCTTCCAGCTCTCTGGGGTTCTTTCGCTGGGAGGTGAGGAAGCAGCAGTTCTGCTCCGTGGGAGGTGGGAGCAGGCAGCCTCTCCTTCAAACTTTGCCAAGTGACTCCAGGAGCGAAGCGAGCTACGAGTCCTAGGAATGTCAACTTTGCGAAAGAGGGAGGCGATGGTGGGATTAAAATAAAACGGGGGGGGGGGAGGTTGAGGAAACCCAGCAGATGCTTACATCAGAGGGCCAGCAAGAAAGGCAGGGAGAGGAAGAAAGCTTTCGGGGCTTGTGCACAGACATAGCGGACTCTTTCTCGTCTCCTGCCCTTGCTGCATCTCCTGTGGAGATCATTTGCAGCTCTCTGTGTCTCTGCAGCTTGCTTCTTGAAGCGATTTCAATCAGCCCCATTCATTGCCAAGAATCCCCATGGAAGTCAATGGAGGTCTGCGGCGAATCAAAAAGCCAGCTGCAGTACCTCCACGTCCGTTGATTTGACCGGCTCAGCGGCCCGGGGACGAGCAGGAACCGATGCCCCCACTGCCCACCGGGCTTGCTGCCTGGCCTGGGGAAAGACAAGGCAGGCTCAGCGCCCCGGGGACAGCCAAAACCCAATGCCCCTGTCGGCCGCACTGCCGCCCAGCCCGGGGAGACGCGAGGCAGGCTCAGCGCCCCAGGGACGGCCAAAATCCAATGCCCCTGCCGGCCGCCACTGCCGCCCAGCCCGGGGAGACGCGAGGCAGGCTCAGCGCCCCGGGGACGGCTACAAACAAATGTCCCCGCCACTTGCTGCCTGGCCCGGGAAAAAACAAGGCTGGCTCAGCGGCCTGGGGACGGCTACAAACCAATGCCCCCGCCGCCTGCCGCACGGCCCGGGAAGATGCAAGGCTGGCTCAGTGGCCCGGGGACGGCCAAAACCCAATGCCCCTGCCGGCCGCCACTGCCGCCCAGCCCGGGAAGATGCGAGGCTTGCTCAGCGGCCTGGGGATGGCTACAAACCAATGCCCCCGCCGCCTGCCGCACGGCCGGGGAAGATGCGAGGCTGGCTCAGCGCCCTGGGGACGGCCAAAAACCAATGCCCCTGCCGGCTGCCACTGCCGCCCAGCCCGGGGAGGCGCGAGGCAGGCTCAGCGCCCCGGGGACGGCCAGAAACCAATATCCCCGCCATCTGCCGCCCGGGGAGACACGAGGCCGGCTCAGCGGCCCGGGGACGGCTACAAACCAATGCCCCCGCCGCCTGCCGCACGGCCCGGGAAGATGCGAGGCTGGCTCAGCGCCCCGGGGACGGCCAAAAACCAATGCCCCTGCCGGCCGCCACTGCCGCCTAGCCCGGGGAGGCGCGAGGCAGGCTCAGCGCCCCGGGAACGGCCAGAAACCAATATCCCCGCCGTCTGCCACCCGGGGAGACACGAGGCCGGCTCAGCGGCCCGGGGACGACTACAAACCAATGCCCCTGCCGCCCAGCTCGGGAAGATGCGAGGTCAGCTCAGCGGCCCGGGGACGGCCAAAAACCAATGCCTCTGCCGGCCGCCACTGCCGCCCAGCCCGGGAAGACGCGAGGCTGGCTCAGCGGCCCGGGGAGGGGCAGGAACCGATGCCCCCGCCGGCTGCTGCCCCCGCTGGGCCTACCGCCTGGCCCGGGGAAGGGCAGGAACCAATGCCCCTGCCGGCCGCTGGCCCCGCCAGGCCTGCTGCCCAGCCCAGGGAGACACGAGGCCGGCTCGGCTGCCCCTCCGCCTGGTGCAGGTAAGCCCCCTCCCTCCTCCCCACTCACCCTCCACCTCCGGGTCTGCTCCTGCTTGGCCCACTAGGGCCGCAGCTTGCGGGAGGGCTGGCCCTTTCAACGGAGGCTCTGCTGGGCCACTCCCAGCATCCATCCTGGGGCTTCCCCGCACGGCTCTCTGGCCACATGCACCTCGGACTGGGCCAGCCCCGGAAAGGCCCTTCCTGGCCACCAGGGGGCAGGGCATCCGGCTGCAGGGCCAATCGGGAGCAAGGGGCAAATCTGCATGTGTGTGAGAGAGAGATAGAGAGAAGGGAAGCACAAGTGCCTCTCTGTCTCTGTCTGTCTCTCTCTCTATGAAAATGGCGGAGAAGGCTCCGGAGCCGCAGGAGGTGGCTCAAAGAGCCGCATGCGGCTCCGGAGCCGCGGGTTGCCGACCCGTGGGTTAGGCATTCAGATTTGTACACACTCTTAGGTTTCACTGCTTTGAAGCTACAGATCCAACTGTACCTCTCTTTCTGTTTCTGCTGCCTCATTAATACCTACTTAGACAGCAAGAAAAGAGAAAACAAGCTTTTCTTTGTAAATACCAATAGCTTCTTTTGGTATACAGCCTTCATTGATCCCAAAATCATGAGCAAAGAATGCCATGAATTTAAACCTGGAGACAGGTTTACAATACAGGAATACATGTACATTCCTTAGTTCATTAACACTAATACTTGTGCTTTTCACATAATAACCTGTGATCTTCCTAAATAAAAATTACAGTCTAAAACTGTTCTGGTGCAACAAAAAGTTGAACAATTTTGCTTACTGTAACAAGATAAAACCACTATAATTACTGTAGGCAGAAAAGAAATGCTTCCTTGAAAAAAAGAATGAAACAACAAGGGTACATTTTTAAGCAGTTCCTATATGGAAATATTCCCATTACTCATTATGAGCTAAACTAAAATTTGCCTTGTTTCACTTAATATACCTAAAATGAATGCTGCTACTAGTCAGGGATTCTTTTTTAAAAAGATAAGATTCTACTAAAGCAGCTTTTAAGCATCTGAGAGAGTAAAAATCCTCAGTTTGCTCCCAGTTTGAACAAAATTTTCAGCATATAAATGTAAAAATATTCTGAGAATTCTCTGTAATTTTGCATACGTCTGCAGTTTTGAAGAAAAATAAATATTTTCTTTGATGGGAGGTACATCAAAGTCTGGCAAAGTGTTGTTTTAACTGATTAATAAGTTGCTGAGAGTCCGCATGCTCTGGAAAAATTTCTTTGGACTTCTGTGCTTCTATATAGCTTCTTTGGAGATCTCCAACCTGCAGAAAAGCAAACAGGCCAAATGATATAGAAATGCTACCAACAGCCTTATATGTTAAGATTTCATCCAACGATTCGCTTTAAAAATATTTATATTCTAATATATATAATAAGACACAACATTTTGAACTCTAAAGCACTGTACATGTGGCTATCTTTGAACACAGTACAGATGCATGGACTGCTACTACGAGACTGGAACAAATATATCAGATGGGCAAATTATATAAGACTTCTGCAGTAAAAGTTTAATTCATGAATTTATTGCTTTTCTTTCTCCTTTCCAACCTATTTTCCTTTTTATCAAATCTTCTAGGTACATCAGATTTGTCTTTTATTTGTAAACTGATCTACAGACTTTTCAGGCAAATTTTGGGACAAAAATGCTTAAGATATACAAACTAATAAACAGATACATATGACAGAAAAAAGAGTGATGACATTACCTTTTCAGACAAGACAGCAAAATTGAAATGTGGCTCATACATATGAGGTGCTATTGATGAAGCCGTCTGCAGAAACACTCTTGCCTAAAGTACAGAAACAAGTGTTCATATTTGTACAGGTCAAGATACTCAATATCGGTACCCCTCTTTCCATCTTGGATTGTCCCATGTTATTTTAATATAGTAAATTTTCTCAAATTAAGTCGGATCACTGGTCTATTTATCTTTATATATAACACACTATAGAATAATTTAAATACATGAGAAACACTCATATTATCTGTTTTTATTGATTTTATTGAACTGAACTTTCTGTCCTCCCCTCAGACTTGTTTGTCCTACACAGAGAAGACAAAGTACCTTGCGAATAAGGGCCTCTTTGCAAGTCAAACTCAGGTTTATTATCTAACCCAAGATCACTTCCTCAAACAGAAACATATTTTAATTAACTTTTAATATATCCTACACCAGTGGTGGCGGACCTATGGCACGGGTACTGCCACAGTTCTGATTCCATTTGCAGATCTTTATATATTGTGATTTTCTTGAGTTCTTCTATTCTGCTGTCTCCAAGTATTGCAATGTATACGATACAATTTGGGGGGGGGTCTTTCATATTAACACTTGTTAAATTTGGGGAGCTATATGGCAGATGCTTGTCTGTTTAAATTCTAAAGTCCCAGGCATTGGCTTCTTCATTTTTTATTACTTTGTCTATTTTGCAGCCTCATCAGTTCTTACTTGCAGGCAAATGGTATTTCTTTGTCTTTCTTATTAACAATTGTTAAGTCTGTGGTATTATTATTATTATTTAAATATATATATTACTTGACTCTTTCTATATTGTAGTTAAAAACATACAACTATGCAAAATTATATATATTAAGCAAAAGAACATACTCTGAAACCAAGAAACTGTTTTTAGCAAAATCCTGTGCTGGGAAAGGTGCAAACGGAATTATACCTATTACAAAGCCATTCTTGTGGGTGTGTACCCCATAGCTCTATTCTTGTGACAAGTGCTTTATGCAATTCAAGGTGCTGGTGATTACCTATAAAGCCCTACATGGCTGGGGACCAGGGTATCTGAGAGATCACCTTTTTCCAAGAGTCTCTATCCATCCAATTACATCAAACAGGATGGGTATTCCATCAGCCTAAGAATATCGGCTGATGGGAACTAGAAGACAAGTTTTTCTGAGGAAGGCCCTCTGTGGAACATCTTCCCTTTGGAGATTAGATTTTGTTAGCCTTCTGTAAAACTTTAAAGATCTGGCTGAGCTCCCGAACCTAAGGGGAGCCCTAAGGCAAGGGTCCCCACCCCCAGTCCGTGGACCAGTACCGGTCTACGGAATGCCAACAACTGGTCCACACAAACAAGGAAAGCCCCATCTGCAAGATGCACACAGCACACAAAAGTACATCCCCTCTGTGCTATATGTTGCTTGCAGATGACCATTTGTCTAGCTCTAATTCAGTGCTATGACTGTAATCAAATATGTTATTCTGGAAGATATAGTTTGTTACCAATTACCTCAACACTAACTACTCTGTATAAAATTACTGAATACAACCAGTGGTTTGGACAAAACACTGGGAATTTCCACTAATCCCCAAATTGAAAGGTGGTCTGTGCACCTGGTCCAACTGCATGGTTATAAAATATATGAAGATTTGAACTGCATGCCCACCATCAATTCAGATATGCAATATTCAATGCCAGAAAAGTACATGTGTGCTCAAATGCAGAGCGGGTGAGTAGGTATGGGATGGGTGGGGAAAATGGTAATTAAACTAAGCTGTAAATGACAATCTATAAGCCTTACAGTTACTGCAAAAGAAACTGGAAACAAACTGAAGGAAAATATTTAAAAGAAAAGATGCTATACATATATATACTACAGTGCCAGCTAGACATCAATGTATATCTTTATTTATTAGAGCAAAGAATTGTGCAGATGTATATTTGATAATTTCCATGGTAACTGCTAGAATACTGAGGCAGTAGGCCTGAAAGTACTTTGATAATTATGAATAAAACTTTAATTAAAATATGTTTTTGAAACTTAAGTTATGCTATGGTTCATCTGCTAAACTAAAGCATGCTAGCTGGGAATTCTTGGAATTTATATCCACACATTTTAAAGTTGCCAAGTTGAAGAGCACTGTAATTAATTTGTTCAGTCATCCAAAGAGCAAATCTGAAACTCTATATAGTTTAAAAGTATACGGAGAAATTTATATAAAAAAAACCAATTATGCAGATTTCATTTTTCAACAGTGATTTTGGCTTGGGCATAGCAGCCAATGCTACAAATACAAGTTTCATGACCTCCAGGAGTCTGCCAGTGGACTTACTTTACAATGCACTCTATATGCAACTCTTTTCCTTGGAGGACTGATTCAGTGGGGCTTTACAGCTGCCATATTTTTTTACCTAGTTACAGTGTCTGTACAACATAATTGACTCAATCAGGATAGCTTAAATTTCTTTCTCTTCCATATTATGTTGAACTGGCCCTTATGGTTTTCCAGAATTTAATTTTCTAGATTGCAAAATGTTTGTGGTGTTTCAGACAAAACAATTCTAGGCCAGAATATCAGAAAATATTTCTGATTCAGAGGATAAAGATCTGAAAAACCCCATTAGAGCTATATTGGTATAGCCTATAGACAGAATTGGAACATTTTGTAACTCTGTGGAATGTTCTGCTGCTGCAACACTAAGTTTTGTACATATCAAGTTGAAACAAACCTTCTCCTATCCCATTGTGAATTGGTTAAAGGCATTTGCACAGTTGTTTTTCCTACCACTGATGCAGCCTATGCTTCAGGCTGAGACTTCATTATTATGGTTCTCATTTGCCTCGAAGAACATTATTCCTAAAATACATTAGCTACAGAAACCTATGGTCCCACCTTCCTTTAAATTTGATACTAACCTGCTCAATATGACCTCTTTGCATTTCCAACACAGCCAAGTTATTATAGGCTTCTGCATGGTCATTGTTGTTAGCCAAAGTCAATTTGAAACATTGATGAGCCAAGTTTATATCACCTATTCCCTGAGAAGTCAAAACACAGAATATGTCATAGTTTCTATATGCCAGGTAATTTCCCCTATTCAGATATTATAAGTTTGGAAAGGAGATATGATTATATGTGCCACTCTTGCTTCCTCTAATCCTGACCTTCCTGGATTAAATTGGGAGTATGAAAAGAGAGTATAAAGATTTTCCATACAATGGGAGTGTAATTTTGGCAAGGTTTGTGACAATATGAGTTTTAAAACAACTTTTATAGTTAGGGCTTCCATTCAAACCTTTTCTGTAAAAAAATGGAAATAATTCTTCCATTTTTAGTTATTTTTCAAATGTATATAGCTGCCCATTTTACAAAACATGTGACTCCTAATTTTATCATTGTAGAAAACAATATTGTACTATCTGGAATTTTTACTGGATTCAGTAGAACTTGTGTTAAATTTCTTGAAAGCATAAGAAAGGAGACAATATCATGCATTATTTCAGTTTAAGTGAAAGGTATTTGACAAAATTACCAAATGATCAACCATTTTCTCCCAGAATTAATTTATAGCTATAGGATGTGAATATGCATTTAACTTGGAAATTAGACCACTAGAACTAGTCATGCAGAGAAATAACCTATTCTAATTCCTGTAAGACTGGAATGGACATATTTCCTTTGGTTCGGGCTGCATTTTGTTTATTTACATACAGATTCTCATATTTCCTCCCCTGTTGTGGTACTGTCATCATGTCTCTTGGAGGGTTGCAAGGGATTCTAGAGTGTCTTTGAATGAGCAGGACCAACATTTTTTGCCCTCTTGGTGAGTTTTGGGGGCTGCAATAAAAAGAGTCACTAAAACTGCAGGTTACTCATTCCTGAGAAATATCCTCAAATCTTTACTAATTTTTTTAATTAGTAATATTTTTATTAATGGGAATTTTATTGGATCAGTATTAAAATCCTTATGTTAGCCTACTTTCATTTTTCAATCTTATGATTAACACTTCAATTATCAATACACAGAAATGAAATATATTTTTATAAGGAAATTTTCAGAAGTCACTTTATCTCATATTAAACAGAACCAAGACTTTCTCTCAAAGGTTGCTTCTCCATGAGAGGTCTTGCCCTTGAAATGTACATGCTATGAAAGTTTTGTTTGGAAAATTTTCAGGCAAGCTACATCAGTCTCCCTTTCAGCAACATACTGTATAAGAACCCTCCATTGAGACTTTTTCTATCTTTTTCAAAAGGAAATAAATGTATTATGATATGCACCATGCAAAAACATTTCTTCTTATATCTTTTTGATAGTTGATAAATAGGTTATAGGCCACTAACACTTTCTGGGCTACAGTTTAATCATTTCTGCATAAATATTTCATCAAAGTATTCTTAACAAACATTACTCTTACCACAGCTATATGTCCCAAATTGTACCACACATCTGCAGCTTGTTCCTCACTTTCTGCTAGAGATAGTGCACGTTCAAATGAAGTGAGAATCATGTCATATTGCTGGGCATAGAAACAGCAGAGGCCTAGATTGTTAAAGAGTTGGCTGTTATAAATGCCCATCTGCAGGAGCCGCCTAGTTCAACATAAAAAGTAAATAAGTCAATTTGTATTTTTGGAGCATGCTTCTTGAAAGTTCCTTGTCCTCATGCAAAATTCTACACACACACATATACACACAGTCCTGCTATTCAAGGATAGCTTTGATTTTCCACTCCAACCTACCGTAGTGGAAATAGAGAATGACCTTGAAAGACAGGAGGAAGAATCGCTACCAAGGCAATGATAACAAGCATGGCGATGGACTTCCGGTGGATAGCGTCGATGATGGCGGCTACCTTCTAGCCGTCCTCCTGGGAGAGCGTGAGAACCGCGGAGTGCAGCAGATACCAGCTGTCCCGCGGCTCGAAATCCCCCTCCCGGGCGAAGGGGGGGGAAGAGAATCACCCGAATGGAGATAGAGCCTCTCAAACCCCCCAGGAATTTTTTTCTTGGGGAGTGAAAAGAGAACTCCCTCGGAGTTCGGGTTGCCTCCGCCTCCCAGCTGTCTTTGTTCCTTTGGGAACAAAGCAAAACGCTGCCATCACCTCCGTGCTTAAAGAAACTTGGTGAGTTATTTTTAAAACGGACAGAGCTGGGTAAAGGATTGAACTTATTAGTTTTTACTTGATTTTTAGTTTAGGTTGATTTTCTTTTTCTCTTTTTTTTTGTTTGGGTGGAGAGTGAAAGTAAAATGGTGATTTGAAAGTTTTTTTTTTTTCCGGAAGAAAGTGAGTCAAACGGAACGTTATGGATTATATAGCTTTCTTTTAAACTTTTTTCCTCTTTCTAAAAGCTGGATTTGAGATTTTTTAAACTCTCCTTTGTTTTTTTTATTCTTTTTGAGGATATTTTTTATTGCTTTTTTTTTCCAAGAAGGAAGAAAGAAGAAACAAGATCCTTTGTTTTTTTAAAAAAAAATGGCTTCAAAGAGACAAGCAGCTTCTACAGTTCCAAAGGTGGCTTCTTCTCCTGCGATCTTACCAGCACAACAACCTAAAGCTACACCACCACCTTTTCCTCCTTTGCCAACAATAACGGTACAAGATATGAAAGATATAATGGGAAATGCCGTATCTCAAATTAGAGGGGAAATGAAAGAGCTTTTAGAGCAGAATAAAATCCAAATCAGAGGGGAAATGAAGGAGCTTTTGGAGCAGAACAATACTATTCTGAGGCAAGACATAGTTATGGCATTAACAGGACTTGCTTCTGTGGTTGAGAAGCTAGACTCTAGAGTGGAAGAGGTCGCAGACAAGGTTGACATTTTGGAAGATAAGTTTGAAGGCATGGAAAAAAAGATGGAAATCTCACAAGATGATATTGTTATGTCTCAGTACAGGGAAATGGAATATGCTTTAAGAATTAGGGGGCTGAAAGAGGACATGCAGCAGGACCTGACAGAAATTGTGGTAAATGACCTTGCTGTTATTTTGACTAGAAATAAAGAAGAGATATTTAGAGAAGTGGAAAAAATTTACAGAATTAACTCCTGGGTCGCAAAACAAAAAAATTTACCAAGAGATGTGGTGATTTATTTTGCAAAGAGATCTCTGCGTAATGAAATCATACAAGCTTTCTATAATAAGAGATTCCAGATTGCTGCTCAAGATGTTATTATTTTAAAGGAGATCCCATCTAAAATTTTAAGAAAGAGAAAAGACTTTGCTTTTTTAGCTAATGAGCTTAAAAAAAGAATGATGCCATTTAGATGGGAGATTCCGATGGGTATTGTCCTGAGCCATGCGGGGACGCGTTATAGACTTAACACAGTTACTAAAGCAAAGGAGTTTTATAGTTCGGTCCTGGGAGCAGGCTCACCATCATCTATGATGCAGAAAGGTTTGGATGATAAAGAGGCGGAACAGCAGTCTGAAGGATTAGGTGTGATGGTTGCTGGAAAGCTATAGGCGGAGTGGTCGCGACAAACAGAGATCAAAGAATGACCCGTGCAGCACATAGACGTAAGGAAAAGGAACAACAGAAGAAAGAAGTTAAAGAATCTCTTCAAGAAATTGTTTCACTGCCGGTGGGAGGAGCAAGACCCAAGAGTTCTGCAGCACATTCTTCAATGGCAGATCTTCAAGCAGTCTTCTCCAGGCTTCTGGTTAAGGGAGATGGTAAAGCTCCTGACCTGGAATGCTAATGGCCTTAATTCCCCTCAAAAGAGAAAGAAAATCTTTCATTACTTAAAGCAATACAATAATGATATTATTTGTTTGCAGGAAACACATATTACACTTAAAGATCAAAAATATCTAGTTAATGCTCATTTGGGATCTCATTTTGTATCTTCTGCTCCTGGGGAAAAAGGGGGAGTAGTTATTTATGTTAAGCAAAACCTATCAGCCTGTTTGGTAGAATCTGATCTTCAAGGGAGATATGTTATGATTGAAATTGTCTTATATGGCAAGAAAGTACCTATAGTGGGATTGTACGCACCAAATCAACAACAGGAACAATTTTATAGACTGCTACATCAGAAATTAACTTTGTTGGATTACAGATCTGTTATATTAATGGGAGACTGGAATGGTGTGTTAGATACTCAAAGAGATAAAAAAGGATCTTCTACTTCTTTCAAACAGGCTAAATTACCTAAAGCCCTCTTTGAGTTGAAAGAGGACTGGGAGCTGAGAGATTATTGGCGTGAACGCAATCAGGAGGAGAGAGATTTCACCTTCTTTTCAGATAGACACCAACCTTTTTCAAGAATTGACTTCTTCTTGATCACAACTGATTTATTTTTCAGGGTAAAGAACGTTAAAATTTTTCCTAGGACATTGACGGATCATAGTCCAGTTTGGATGGAGCTGGTCGATCAAAAAGAAGAGAGGAGATCGTGGAAGATGAATGAAAATTTATTCAGACAAGAAAAGAATGTTCAAAAATTAAAGGAGCATTTAAAGGATTATTTTGTTTTAAATATGCATAAGGGAACTTCAATGTCTATGGTATGGGATGCAGGTAAAGCCTTTATGCGAGGGATTTTGATACAAATGAACAATGCTCATAGACAGAAGCAGATTCAGAAACGTAAGGAATTGGAAAATGAGATTAAATTAAAAGAAAAAACTTTGATTTTAAATCCTACAGATGAGAAGGTTAAAGAATCTATTAAATTGCTTAAATCACAATTTAATATGCTGATGGCTGATCAAACTGCAACTAATTTATTGTATATGAAACAAAATACATTTTGTAATGCCAACAAACCAGGGAGATGATTGGCATATCAATTGAGAAAGAAACAGAGACAGAGAATTATAGATAAAATAAATTATAATGGTAAATTGGTATATCAGAAGGAGTTGATTAAGAAATCTTTTTTAGATTACTATCAAAAATTATACAAGAATACTAAAGTACAGGTTTTAGATATAGATAATTACTTAAATGAAGCCAACTTCCCTAAATTAACAGAAGATCAGAAGCAAGAAATTAATGGTTTGATTACTAATGAGGAAATTGAGATGGTGATTAAAGAATTAAAATTAGGTAAAGCACCGGGTACGGATGGCCTGACAGCTATTTATTATAAAACTTTGATACAAGAGATGGTTCAACCTTTAAGAGAACTTTTCAATAATATATTACAGGGTTCAGAGATTCCCCCGTCATGGGGTAGAGCCTTTATATCTTTAATTCCAAAAGAAGATCAAGACCTTACTTTACCAAAGAATTATAGGCCTATATCTCTTTTAAATGTAGATTATAAGATTTTTGCAAAAATTTTAGCCAATAGGCTCATGAGGGTTTTGCATTATGTCATACACACAGACCAAACAGGTTTTATAACTGGAAGGTATATGAAGAATAATGTTAGACAAATCATTAATTTATTAGAATATTTAGATAAAAATAATCAAGTTTCCGCAGGATTGATATTTTTAGATGCTGAAAAAGCTTTTGATCAATTGAATTGGCAATTTATGTTAAGATTAATTGAGAAAATGAATTTTGGAGGAAAAATCCTACAAGCTCTTGGTGTTATTTATCAAAAACAAACGGCACAGCTTATAGTTAATGGGGGTTTGTCAGAGGTTTTTACAATAGAAAAAGGGACTAGACAGGGATGTCCATTGTCACCACTGCTGTTTGTTTTAACTTTGGAAATATTGTTGATTAAAATCCGAGAATCACAGCAAATAAAAGGAATAGAAGTTAATAAAAAAGAATATAAATTAAGAGCTTTTGCAGATGACTTGGTCGTTACCCTATCACAACCTATTCATTCTGTAGTAGAGTTATTACAATTGATACATCAATATGGATGGGTTTCGGGTTTTAAAATTAACAATAATAAGACTAAAATATTACCTAAAAATATGACCAATCTTGATAAGCAGACTTTGGTTAATCTGACAGATTTTGAGGTTGTTGATAAGGTAAAATATTTGGGGGTTACTTTATCTGTCTCTAATGCAAAATTGTATAAAAATAATTATGAAAACTGTGGGTTAAGATACAAAGAGATTTGAAAAATTGGGAGAAGTTGCAATTATCTCTTTTGGGAAGAATTGCTGTGATTAAAATGAATGTTTTGCCAAAGTTTCTTTTTCTATTTCAAATGATACCTATCTTAAAGAACGAGGTTAATTTAAATGAATGGCAGAAAGGTATCAACAAATTTATTTGGGCAGGGAAAAAGCCAAGAGTAAAATTTAAAATTATGCAAGATACTCGTGAGAGAGGTGGACTCAAGGTACCGAACCTGAAATTGTATTATGATGCTGTGGTTTTAACATTACTTAGTGATTGGGTTAATTTAACAAATGTAGAAATACTCCTCTTGGAGGGTTGGGATTTACTTTTTGGATGGCATGCCTATTTAATTTTTAATAAAAAGGTTGATAGGTTTTTAAATCTCATATTATAAGGATTTCTTTACTTCGGGTTTGGAGGAAATATTATAGAATTGATTCTAAAATTCCATTATGGGCCAAGCCATGGCATGCGATAGAGGGGATAAGGAGAGGAGTTAAGATGGATAGTGTTTCTTATGCACAATTACTTAGATGGGATGGTAAAAATTGGCAGTTAAAATCTTTGGAAGATTTAGCACAAGAAAATATTATATATTCATGGTTTCAGTATAGACAAATTGTGGATAGGTGGAAGGTAGATTGCAAAGTGGATTTGCTTAAAGAAGATGAAAATTTTTTTAAACAAGTAAAAGATCAAAGACGAACTCATATTAAGAGAATTTATGGGGTGTTAATAGAATTGGATTCAGAAGCAGAATTAGTTAAAGAATGTATGATTAAATGGGCACAAAATTTTGGTGAACCAGTTTTATTAGATACTTGGGAAACTATTTGGGTGAGAAATGTTAAATTTACAAAAGCCCAGAATTTAAGGGAGAATTTTTATAAAATGTTTTACAGATGGCACCTTGATCCACAAAAAATGTCTCGCATGTATCCTGACTTACAGCCTAAATGTTGGAGATGCGGATGTTTGGATGCTACTTATTATCATATTTGGTGGTCGTGTAAAAATATAAAAGCCTTTTGGATTAAGATATGGTGGAATATTCAAAGAATTTTTAGAAGGAGGGTAAAATTTACCCCACAATTGTTTTTGTTAGGTATCGTTATTGATTGTGATACCAAGGAGACTACACTGATGTTAAATTTAATTACAGCCGCAAGGTTGCTAGTAGGGCAATGTTGGAAGAAGGAATCTTTGTCTACTTTGCAAGAGTGGTTTCTTAAAGTTTCTTACTTGGCGGAAATGGCAAAGATTTCGGCTTTCTTGAAGGATCAATCGCAAGAGAAGTATGTTGTGGTATGGAAAAAATGGATAGACTTTATACAATATAAGTTAGATATATTGTATAATATTATCTAGTTTTTTAACAATTTATATTTAAAATGGAATATTTTGGTTTTTTTTCTTTCTTTTTTTGTTTTTCTTTTTTTCCTTTTTTCATTCTTTTCTTTTTTAAATATTTATCTTTTGTATTTATGTTTTTTTATATATATACTATTGTTAATCATTTTATAATTTTTCTAATTAATGTATTTAGATTTTTAACTAATGTTAGATTTATTTATGGTTTATATCTTTTTTTAAGATTCTTTGATGAAATTCTAATTAAGCCTATATCCAGCTCTGGGAAGGTCGGGGGAGGGAATGGGAGGGTTGGGGGGAAGATTGTTTTGTTTTTGTTTTTGTAAAATGTCAAAAGTTCAATAAAAATTATCTTTAAAAAAAAAAAAACAAGCATGGCTTGAGCCCATTCCAAGAAACCAGTTTGAGTAAATGTGTCACTCTTTAGTTCACACTAATATAAAGTGAGGGAGGGGGTAAACACATTCAGACTTGCATTTTTTTGTCACTATAGCTGTTACTTGATCTATATGGCATTCATTGCTTAGACTGGTCTCCCTTCAAAGCAGATATAACCTAAGCATTCCTTGAAGTCTCTCAATAAAGTAATCTCAAGATCTGACCATTCTTAGCATCCTAGCTCAACAAGGCTTCCACCTTTCAGGTAAGCTAAAAAAAAGGGAGTTCTATATAGTATATTTCATGGCATGGCAGTTGTTGCAGCAGCCCGACTCCTTCCCCATCTCATTTAATATCACAAATTACAATCCATAGTAAGAATCTATACAGTGTGTCTTTTTACAAGTGTTACCTCTCCTGGACTAGAGAAAAAAACATTTCAGGGGGCATGATCTCTGTATTTCTCACTGAATATAAGAAGAAATCAGGGTGCAATAGTTCTTATATTCTCATTTTCAGCATTTTCTCTCCTTACCCCAAGAATCAAGCCTTGTTGACTAGAACAGAGTTCTCCAACCTTTCTTGATTTGTGAACCAGTGGGGGGGGGGAAAGGGGATGGTTCCATGTAAGTGGCAGGCGAGTGCATGCACACTCCTTCATAGCCTGGTTCCAAGAGGCTCAAGGCTCAGTAGTGGGCCGCTGCCCAGGGGTTGGGGACCCCTAGACTGTAACAATCAAATTTAGCCCTCTAAAAAAGCACTTTACTATAAAGGAAACAGCTGTTCAAAACAATATGTAGTACCTTAAAGACTAACCCATTATTATATCCTTACATGTTCATAGCCTTTGACTATCTGACAGACAGTGCTTTTTTTCTAAAAAAAAAAAAAAAAAGGTGCCCGAACTCACACACGTCATACAACCCGCCTTGCCTACCCTACAAGGCTCTATCCAAAAAAGATGCCGGAACTCCGTTCTGGGCCTTCTATGAGAAAAAAAGCCTTGCTGACAGATATAATAAAACACTTTTCTTTTTAATTTTCTTCTTAGGCTGTGCAGTCAAGCTAGTCTGAGTAATTCTTGTTCTATAAAGTCAGGGACATTAGTACAAATAGCTAACTTCTGTAATTGAGAAATGAATACAGAGAAGCTCTCCATCTAGATGCAAATAAAATACATTATTTAGAGAGCAGATATATAGTCTGGACAAGAAAATATATACTTCTGAAAAAAAATTAACAGAAAATATGTTTGCCACATTCTCAGGAGATATTATCAGAAATACATGAAGCACTGTAGTAAAACTATATTTTGTGTGTGTGTGTGTGTGTGTGTGTGTGTCTGTCTGTCTGTCTGTCTTTCCCACATGTTAGGTCTTTCTAATAAAGTAATATTCAAAAGCAAGAGAAGAATAGTCCTTTAATAGCTTTGTAACCCTTCCAACAAATTTGATGGGAAAAATCTCTTGGCAAATAAGCCAAAGTAAAAATATAGGTGGATGGGTGAATGTTTGAATACCATTTTTATGTTGTCTGATTAATTGGTTGAGGACAAATCACAAATCAGTTCATGTGTTCCCAGGGTTTTCAAAGCTGGTGGAAAAGATGGAAATCACAAATCTGTTTTAGGCTACCTTGAGACTGTAGAACAGAACTAGTAGATATGTATAAGCAACTCAAGATTCCCTTTTAAATATTTTTACAAACACCTGTTATGGATGTACAAAAATTAGGCCGTAGTTTCTTTCTAGATTCCTATCAGGGCTATAATTCTTAAATTGGACAAATAACCCATTGAGTTAGTGTATGATTTAACATATTTTTCACATATCCATCTATTTTGGGCTTTTATTTTTATTCTGTTTCACTATCTCAAAAATAATATATATATTCAATATCTTCTTACCTATAAAAACGTAAAGCTATCTCTGGCTGGTCAGAGTAAAAATGATTACTTGCAATGCATGCAATGGCTTCCACATGGGTATTATCTTGTTTTAAGACATCTTTATAGTATTCTGCAGCTGTAGAAATGTTGTTCATTTCCTATAAACAGATGAAAAGACAAAAGTATTTTAAGTTACACAAGATTAATAAAAACAAAGTGTTGTGATTCCTTAAATATTAAGGAATATTACAGTAATTATATTAATAATGTTCTGAGATTATACAAGATATAAAATAAAACTCAAATTATCAGTAGCTCTGTAGTACTACAGGCTTGCATATTATCTTATAAATGCTTCTCATATTATCATTTTGTAATTCTTTGGTTAAAACATTTTCAGATCAGTTTTTCACTAATGGTTTATGTTTTAACTTTCTTGTTCTATTTAGACTGAATATAACATATTGCCTACCTACAGTCCTCATCAAACAGCATTGTACAAAAATGTTGGACTACAAAACTGCAGCTTTTATTACAATTCTCAAATATCTGCTGCATCAAGCATATCTGAGTGAAATTTTGGAACTGTACTGAATGAATTGCAATGTAATTGAGAAAGAAAACTTGAAATTATCTTTGGAATTTAACATCTCTGGTTCTGAAAACACCCTTCAAAACTAATTAGGGTGAAAAAAATTACATCTCTGCTAATTTTATTGAATAAGAAAAATATACTTGAAAAGATATATATATATGTATTTATCACATAATTATATTTTTTATTTTATATGTTAACAATAAGTAGCCATATGTTTTTGGTTATTTCCTACTGTTTATGGACTGCTGTTGGGTAAAACAGTATTACATAACAGTATCAGTTTTCTTCAGCAAAGAAACAGCCTTTTCTGCTTGTTTATATAATTTTCTCTGTCAGTTCTTATCAAAAGATTTTTTAAAGATTTATTTCCCACAGAAGAACACATAGCAGGCCTCTAAGCTCTAAAGATACAATTCTACACTCGCTTAGCTTAGGAAAGAGGATATCAGTAAAACATGAACAGACTTCCAGTCACAGAAAAGTGTACTGTATCTGAATGCATGCATCTGTCAGCTTTTTATCGTGATTTGAGAGCTTAGACTACAACTGTATTAGATTTCTTAAGAAGTTACATTTCTTTTAGTTTATTAGGAAACAGATATTTTGTGACTGACCATGCCATTTGGCAGTTGTTTGTAAGCACACTCATAATGTTCTCTGAAAAGTCTAAGTGCTTCTCAGTCCCAAAGTCTGGGGGCTCTAATGAGTAGAAAATATTGAAGTTCATATATCTGTGGAAAGGCAAACTTTTCTGGATTAAAAAGCTTTAACTGAAAAGCATTCGAGGCTTTCTAAATTTCCATTTCAACTCTAACTGTGGTAATAAACAGTACTCAACTTAAACATGATTTGCGTATATTTATCATATTTAAAAATAAATATTTATCATATTTAAAAATGACTTCATTTCAAAAAATTTTGAACAAGGCTTCTCTAAAAAAATAAATTTTATGTACCTATTTGTTATATTTAAATCTTGCCTTTTTACAATACTTCCTCGTCCTATTTTGCTCCACAACAATATCTTGTGAAGTAGTTTGGGCTAAGAGAGAAAGTCACTCAGGGAGTTTCAATGGCTGACAGACTAGAACCCAAATTCCCCTGGTGCCAATCCAACAGATCATGTCCCTCACACAAGGATTCTCTTAACCATTTTGTAATCCTTGAAATAATTGTACGGTGTAGTAAATTCTTACTAATGTACATGCAGCCCTCCATTCTCCCGATATCCATGAAATCATTAGCAAGCTGCAAAAAAATCAACTTGTTCATTAGGTTCTTCATGTCTTTATTGTTTGAAACAATGAATACTAGAAAAAGATCTGGTAATGATTTCTTTGTCTAAGCATGGATGTTTGTCTGAAACTGAACTATACTCAGCTACTTCAGTGGAAGCTAGAAGAGCTATAACTCAGTGATAAACTAAAAGATACCAAATTTCAGCCCTTGATATTTAGGTTCTAAACCTAGAGTTATTACAACAGTTTTAGAAATACTAGATGGAGGAATTGCTAAAGCTGAAGAATAGGTCAGCTCTCCTATTCTTATATTTTAGGACAAAGAAGCCACAAGCCTAGTCTTAAAGTTGTTTCCCCATTTTGCCTCCTTAGCAAATTATTTGCACATCTAGGTACTGGAATTTAAACAAAAACTGTTTGAGGGCTTACTCATCAATTATCCTCTTGATGTAGGAGAAAAACTTGATTTGCATACCTCATGAATTCTGGCCATGCCACAAAGGAGGGAAACTTCTCCAGGAAATTGTTCTAAACCTCGTTTGAAAACATTTAAAGCTGTCAAAGGCTGATCCAAGCGGGAATATACCTGGGCAAATACATGGGTGTAGCTCCATCAATGTTAAATTTTTTACAATAACTATAGCCATGAAAATTAGCTGCCAACTGAATCATATAGTATACATGTATTAATTCTATGCATGTATTAATTCTATGCACAGTTACATTTAAGTCTATAAAACTACTCTCCACATTTTGGCACTGCCTCTACATATGTTCCAGGACAAAATTCAGATAATGTCACAACATCATGATTTTAAAAATACCACCATTCTTTTTACTCCTCTAAAATACTGTTTTTACTTTTCTAAAATAGTGTTTTGTATCCCTCTACACAACTCATTCATTCCAGCTCATGAAACCATCTATTACATTTTTTTTTCTAGGATAGGCCATCAGCAGGACACAGCAAGCAATGAACTTTCAAGAGTGACAGGACAGCAGTATAGTCTTGTCAAAGGCACTTGCCAATGCCAGCTGGAAAATGCTGGTTACTAAATATAAAGATAGGTACTGCCCACCAATATATATATATTGACTTTTAGCTGTATTCTATAGTCATTTGTAAAGAGAGATTACAAGGTAGTCTATCAGCTATTTTTTTTTAATTTATTCAATTTGGAAAGGTTTGTATTAAAACCAATTTCTTCAGGAGACTGATGTTAGATACCTAGCATCTTGATCATTGCATATACAGGGAGTGGGTCTGTGTGTGGGGGAAAACAATACAGAAACATTTCTACTGCAGCCAGTATCACAGCTGGATAGGCAATGCAATAACATTCTAAGACTAGATTTACCCAGATGTTGCAAACAGCGGTAGAAAAAGCTTCCAAATTACCCTTTCCTATAGATATTAAAAAAGAATTAGCAACTGAAATTCTAACTATTTTAACTAGCTTGCAAAAACTTAAATTATAATCCAAGAGTTCCAGATCATTTGTCTAAAATAATGATTTTTTTAAATTACAAATGCCAACTTACTTTTGCCAAGTACAGTACTGTATCTACCATATCTTGTTGTCTGAGAGCTGACTTAAACTGTGTTTCTGCTTCACGGTATAATCCTAGTCTAGACAAATTTATAATGAAAGGTAAGTTAGAACCAACAAACTAATAGGAAATGGGCTATATTTTACAATAATTATATTGCAAAGCACTAAAAATGAGAAGATATATTCTACAATTTACTTGACTTGTAAAAACGAAATCAGAAAGGCTAAATATCAAAATGAGATAAGATAAATGTCTTTTATTATGTTCCAAATAAAATGAAAGTAGCTACTCAATGAAGAAAATGCAGAATGATATAATTCCTATTTTTAGCTCAGTTTTTTCTCTAAAAAGGAATCATGTTACATCAAACAATTATGAAGAGTAAAATGAAAGAGCAGTATAAAAACTTGCAACTGACTGAAATATATATTTGTATGTGTGCGTGTGCGTGTGTGAATTAAATTTAATAATTTCATAAAAAATGATCACATGACCCTGGGACACTGCAACAGTCATAAATATGAACCAGCTGCCAAGCATCTGAATTTTGATTACATGATCATGGGGATGTTACAAAGGTCGTAACTGAAAAATGGTCATAAGTCACTTTTTTCAGTGCCACTGTAACGTTGAATGGTCACTAAATGAACTGTTGTAAATTGAAGACTACACACACACACACATACATACATACATACATACATACATATAAAATTACAATATATGAGTTAAAATTCCAGGGTCAGACACATTACATCATAGGATATTGAAAAACTTGATGGAAATCCTGTGAAATGGGTGAAGTGCTAGACAACTGAGATGGCAAACACTGTCCTCAACTTTTTTAAAAAAAAGGAGGGAATTTAGTAAACTACAGAATAGCCAACCTTCAGCAAATCATTTAAGGTACCCTTAAGTACCCCAAGGCAGTCTAATTAGTAAGTTAGCAAAGTATGGGCTGGATAGAAGATAATTTGCTTGAACATCCCACTCAAATAGTGCTCATTAATGTTTGTTCATCCAACTATTAGGAAATATAAAGTGAATACCATATGGTTCAATCTTGGATTCTGTGTTCTTCAATACTTTTATTAATTATTTCGATCAGACATGTCAAACACAAGGCCCGGGGGCCAGATGCGGCCCATGAAGTGGTTTCATGTGGCCCACGAAGCCATCCTGGAAACAGTGAGGGAACGGCTCCCACTGCCTTGGCTGCGTTTCTTGCCTGTTTTTCTCCCTCCCTCGTCTCAAATATTTTCCCACCACTCTGTACTTAGGAAGGAAGGAAAGAAGGAGAGGGAGGGTCTGAGGGAAATCCTGCCTTAGTCCGGCCCTGCTGCCCTTTTACCATCCCCTTGCCCCCTCCTCCTGGCCTATCTGGGGTCTCCCATCCTATTGCTAAGGAAGCTTTGGATATAAAGCTGGGTCTCCTCCCATGGAGAGGGAATGGGCCTCCCTCTGATTTTGCCCTCGTACCCATCATGAGAACCTGGGTAAGGAGAGCAAGCACAGTAGCAGCAGTCTTGAGGAGGTAAGTGCAGCTGGGCGACCCCTTGGGGAAGTGGGGTTGGGCTTGGTGCCGTGGGTGCTCAAGGGCCAGGCTGGACATTTGACCTCTGCTGCCCAGGGCTCCGGGCAGCCTGCACCACCATCCAACCCTCCCACATGGCCTGAGAGGAATGGTGAGGCTCCTCCAGTGGACCATGCCTTGGCACTTGACCTGGTCCCACCCCCTTCTGCCAGAGACCTTCAGATTTGTCCCACTCCTGCCCAGGCCCCCTCAGGCCCCCTTGATGTGATCGATGTAGAGCTGGCCATGCCCATCCAATAGGCCACACCCACTCCACGCCCACCCAGTAGGCTGCATCCACCCTGGCCACACCCACCCAGCCTCCCAAGGGCAACCGCAATGATGATGAGGCTCTCAATGAAATTGAGTTTGACACCCCTGATTTAGATGAACTGTGGAGGGAATATCTATCAAATTCACATATGACATAAAATTTGGATGGGATAAAAATTCAGTTCTTAGTACCTACACAAAGGGGTTTCTCCTTGTCTTCCTTTTTTTAAAAAAAATTCAAAACATGCTTTAAAAATGTTCCTAATCCCAGGAATTCTGGTACTCTACTATCCAAATATTAACCATAACTGACCTTGTTTAATTTTTTTGAGAACAGCTTCGTATGCCATAATCATAAAGGATAAAAATAACATTCAAAGAAGAATTAGGTTTATTTATGGCAATGGATTTGCAAGCAGTCTGCCTTTTTAAAATGTATTTTCTTTAAAAGCATCCTTGTAATACCAAATGTTTTTTATTCAACTTCAACTGGTAATACTTTATTTCCCCTTTTTAAATTAGCAACTGCTTCCTTAAGTCCTCTGCTATCATATACACCATGTTCAATACAAGATTTAAATGTTATGAGTTTGGTATTTCAAACTTCAAAAACCATAAAAGTAGTAGTTCTGGGTGGGATAAACATTTCACTGTCTGGAAAGATTGTTAAATGAAACACTGTATTTTAATTGAAGCAAATATTGATTTACTTCATTTTTTGTAGGTTTTGAAGACTGTCTCTAGTCCTATTGAGCTAATTTCCCAATTAAATGTATGTTTTGAAGGTCTGACTAAAAATCCTTCTCGAACTAACAGCATATGTTCATAATATGAGGGTACCACCAAAAAAGCAAGCTTGAAGTTGCAGATTTCAAAATGGACAGTTTACCTGTAATAACACTTCCCAATTTGCACTTTCCACCACCAGTCCTTGAATTGGGCATGCTGTGTGGCATATGCTGCCAAATCTAAAGCCTTGAAAGGGAAGCAAATTTACAAAGGTCACCTTCAATTTTGAGATAAAACATATAAAATTTATGTTTAGCAGGTTGCAAAAAATTATAAGATTAAATCAGATAAATACACTAGACTTTCCCCTTTTGTATTTTGCCTCATGAGTTGAAATGGCAAAAGAATCCTTGATGGCATAATTTTAATCTATTCAAACCTGGAAGTTTTCTTGATAAAAGCATTTAAAAATTGCTCAAAACCCTCTACCACCTATATAATTTAACTCAAACAATGAATTATCTTCTCCATTTTAGTATTCATTCCTGTTAGGATTGGATTCTTCTTAAATTGGATCATTCCAATCATTTGGTACATGCATATTTGAATACTGAAACGGTTTACATAAATTTTGTGCAGTTAATTGCAAGTTCAGCATTCTGTGCAAAAACATAAATACTTCCCTAATCCCTCATATACTCCAATTCTTCATAAAGGAACACATCACATCCATAATTCACTATAGCTTCCTCTGTTTATATAAAGAGAGCATATCCTTATGAAAAGCAAACTTACAACAGTTTAGATAAATGAGCTATTTTTTTAATACAATAAATCGTTTTGAGAAAAGCATCAAGAAATCTGAATGATGCCATGAATTAAAATCCTAGATGGCAATTGGGGAACAAGGGAGAGACTAACATACTGATAAGGCTGTGAGGTCACTTTTAATGACTTAACTAGCATTTGATCACATCAGGTATCAATATACTATTCGATGTCATATTTGGATATTTTAGCAATTAGATTATTTCTAGATGGTTAAGAATCAGAATGGAAAGAATGAATGCTAGTTCTCAGTATTATTCCTAACAGCAATTACATAGAAATTAAAAGTTAGTAGTGCAGAATTAATTTTCAATAAAAAGAAACAAGGAAGGAGTTAGCAGGAGCTTATATGCAGATGATATGAACACATAAAGCTATAATGTGCAGACAATCTAACTCTTATTTTCTGCATGAATAAACTATTAATCACTGTTTTGAATATCCATAAAGCAACAAAAAAACAAGTCCCAAACTGCAGATATAGAAAAAGATTTATGCTAAGGCCTTTTCTCAACTGCAGATAAAAGCCACTTGTATTTCTTGGCAAATGTCACCAAAAAAAAGACATCTTCAGCACAGCAATGAAGCAACACTAACTCCTTCATATAGGACAAAGGTGTAATAATTCTAATTCTTCTTTGTGATCAACATTTTAAGCTTTCATTCAGTTGTAATACTGATTACAACTGTTTAACGTTCAGATATATTCATTTGGAGACTGAAGTCTCTCACCATATTTATAGGCCAAGACAGTTTGTCAGATTTAATTTACCCTTGAACCCAGTAAATTCGAAAGCTTTTCAAGATACAAATGGCTTCCAATTTTAGAACTCCAATACATTGCAGTGACGGGAGAAGGAATATTTACAGTATTGTATGTGCTGTATCAACATCTCATTCTTGCCTAAATCTGACACTCAACCTTCCATAAATCTACAGTAGGAAGGAAAAATAAGAATGGTAGGTTGGTATTTCTTCAGAATATTTTGCTTGCATAACTGAACTACTTAATTGCAAAATCTATTGGAGGAGTCCAAAGTATCCTATTTTGGTACTTCAGAAAAATGTGAAAATTTCCATGTTGAACATTACAACCTCATTTTAGAGCCTTGTTCATTCATATAGCTTCTATCATCCTCTATATTTTTTTTCAATGTAAATTTCTCCATACTATGCCTTCCTTAGCAAAACAAAAGTATATATTTCTATATACAGTGAGCTACATGTTTATATATTTTTTTCCAGTTTGGAAATAATAATCATTTGGTATTCCTGCTTTTATTTTAATACTTTACAGAGATGGTTTTCCTTAAAACCTCTTTTAGACATCAATATATTTTTGAAGCTGAAGATTAAGGACATATTATCATGGAGAAAATCTATCCACATGTTTGCTAAGAACTGACATTGATTTGATGGCAATCAATCAATCAGTATTTTTTAACAAGAAATGGCAGAAACCATTTGATTTCAGAAACCATCTGTTGATTTCAACTGACCACTATGTTTTTTGGGGGAAACCAAAGTTATTTGAAAAATAAATTATTAAGTTTAAATTATTTAACATGAAATAACTGAATTCAACCAAAAGCAAAAACTTATATATTTTTCTGAAGTAAGAAAATACAACATCATTATCCTGTATGAAAGAAATAAGTCTGCCCTAGGTGGAATTACTGGTAGTTTTCTTCAACTGTTAAATATTTATCTCACGCTCAAAATAAAAATGGAAAGAACATTAACCTTTTAAAAATAAATATACTTACATTCTTAACATCACTCTCATGATGAAAAATGTATTCAAACAAAGCCTATTAAAAACAAATTTAAAATATGTCATCAAATTGGAGGCAAATAAGATCTACTTACAATTAATTAGAAATAAATATTTTATTAGCTCATTTAAAATTAAAAGCAGATTTAGTAAAAATATTGAATGCAATAAAGAATTCACATTTCAAAAATCTATGTAATGTTACTGCCTTGTTTGGCAAAAATTCTTAATCTTACATTTGAAATTAATTAATTACAATTTATAGAACATGTGATTCCCAGTGACTTGAGGCAGTTTACAATTAAAAGGAGAAAAATACAAATACAAAAACCAAAATATAAGCAGTCCAAAGGAAAATACAGTTTATAAACCTAAAACTAAGCAACCAATTAGTTGACAGAGGCTGACACATCATTCTATTCTAAATTCTGGGAGAAAGCCAGAAAAAATGGGGTATCTTTTATGTGTTGCAGTTACTGTATCTATAAAAGAAGGAATGGGGGGAGGGGGTTCATTGCTGAAAAGTTGGATGGTCTGAAAATTATCTTGGAAGATCAACCTTTGCTTTGAACAACTGATCGCATTGTAAATATAGATAATCCTCAACATACAATAGGTTGAATTAATGAGAGCCTAAGAAAGGGTGTTTTACGCCCTGTAAAACACATCCAGTCATCGTCAAAGGGCACATCATCATCTTGCAGTCACCGATTGCAATTTTGTGCTTGGCAACCTGTCTGCACTTAACAATAACTTGCCAAGTGCCCATAATCATGTGATCATCATTTGCAATCCTCTCTGCCAGCTTTCCCAGAAAATCAATGGGGGAACAGGTAGAGAAAGTTGCAAGCTGCTGCCACCTGCCAAGAGTATACACTCTCATCTTTGGAGGCTGCCTGAAAAAGCTCCCTACAGGAGGATTTTGACTCCATGCTTGCTTTCATGGAACTGAAATCTTTCATGCCTGTTTGCACAGAGCTGAAATCCTTTAATTAGGCATGGAGCTGAAATCCTTCAGTGGGGAGCTCTTTCACCCAGCCTCTGGAAATGAAAGGGAATTGAAATCAAAAGTAGGATTTTCAGTCCTGACTGGAGAAGCAGTAAAGTAAGAAGTACAGGATGTCTCAGGGGTGTAGGGGAGGTCCTGAGAGGACCGGTACGGGCTGCATGCCAATGTCTTTCCTCACTCAGGGGCTGAAAATATTGCTTGGATTTTGGCAGGGAGGATTTTCATTCCTGAGTGGAGAGGCAGCAAGGTAAAGTAAGAAGTACAGGGTGTCTCAGGCGTATAGGGGAGGCTCTGAGAGGCTTGGTGCCGACTGCATGCGTCTTTCTACTCAGGGACTGAAAATTGCTTTATTGTGGCTGAGAAATTACACTATACTGAATTTGTGCCTCTCCTGAAAAAAAAAATAGTAAAAACACAAAAGCTATTAACATGTTTTAATTAACAGATGATTTAAAATAAACAAATCAAGAATGGTATATTAAACAAGCACATACCTTTGCCAACTTTGGTTTTTGAGCATAATTACTTAAGTTCAGTTTGGATACATTTATGAAAGGACCCTCAGGATTAGTGAGCATCGAGGCCTGTAGTGGGAAAAAGCATCAAATTAAATGACGTACCCATTGTTTGAAATATAACTGGCAATACAATGTACAATTCTGAGAAATCAATATGGTGCCTATAAAAAATAATTCATGAGAATAAATTGTGACACTTGCACAATTCCCAGCTCTTGTCACTGGTCCTAGAGTTGAGCCAACTAATCTTTCACCCACTCCTCAGCAACAACACCGGCAATAGAGCTTAACAGGAAACTCGTTCTCCAGTGCCCGTCCAGAGTCATATAACTCAGACATCCCCCAGTAAAGTGAAATCAATAGGAATCTCCCTTTTAAAAAAAAAATATTTATTCGCTTCACATTTTTCTTCTATTGTTAACAAGTCTAAGCTACCCAATAACAAAGGTCCTTGGGTGGAATGAAAAGTTACTAAATTTTTTAAAAGTTATTACAAATTTTAAGAACACCAGTACTGAACATAATAATGAGGACAATAAAATGGAAATAATAAAGGAAAATACGGAACATATCATTTGTTATCTGTAACATGCAGGGCAGATACGAAACTGTACAAAAGACTATAACTTGCTTGAAAATTCCACAAAAGCCAACCATGAAAACATAATATTTATCTATTAATCAAATATATATGATATAAAGCATTGCTAAATTCAGTGGGCTTACAGGACTATAATACTAAACTGTATTTTTAACTCATTACCATGCATAAATGGATGTTTGTGTATTTTGTGGAACATTTGATCTTCATTGGTTTAAACAATAATGAGCAAAGCCTATTAGTATTATACAGATTGCACATATTTTTCAAAAGTGCAATCATGTAAACAGACATAAAAATGCTGTTACTGTATATTCCGGCGTATAAGGTGACCCGGTGTATAAGACAACCCCCGTCTTCGGTGCCAAGTCACATGCCTAGAAAGTCGTCTTATACGCTGGAAACTACCATTATTTCCGGCGTATAAGATGACTCGGCGTACAAGACGACCCCTGACTTCGGCGCCAATTTTAAAGGTTGCAAAAGTCGTCTTATACGCTGGAAAGTACGGTAGTTTTAATAAGTTATTAACATAGCAGGGAGAAAAAAAGAGTAGGGGGAAAAAAAAACACCAATAGTCCTCCTATCCTGTATACATGTAGTTCCAATTTCCAAGAGTACAAACATAGGATCCTTACTGTTCCAAGCCTGACATATCTCCCTGAAGCACTAGTCATGGGACGGGCAGTGTGAGCAGTTCTTGGAGTCTTTAAGGCTTGTTCAATGCTACCTGGTCTCCCAGCCTGTGTTCCAGGACGTACAAAACCTGTCAGGGGTCGCCCTGTTTGTGTCACTGGCCTGAAATGATCCAAAGATGGAAGAGTATCATGATAAAATGATAAACAGAAGCGTTTATTGCTATTTGCAAAATCAAAAAGTGTACAGATTGCCATATCTGTATAGTAGTTTGTCGTATTAGTATAGATACATGTGCATTAACTCAATTACATTTATAATTATTACTCAATTACATTTATCATTGTTAAGTACACACTTCTATAGGATTTACTCATTACCCCAGTGGTTCTCAACCTTTTTATACCGGCGACCCCGGTCATAAGGACGCACCGTGCATTCGCCGGCGCGCCGCGCATGCGCGGTGCCACCAGCTGAGGAAAAAAATGGCGGATCGCGTTGTTTGGCGACCCCCGTGAAATGGTCGTTCGACCCCAAATGGGGTCGCGACCCACAGGTTGAGAACCGCTGCATTACCCCATTAAACGGCACTTACATAATTCTTATTATTTTGAGGAAGATCTATGTTATCTTTTACAATGTGATACTTCTTTTTGTATTGCCATTTTTGTTCACACTTTTACTGCTTGTAATGGTTTCCCAAATGTATTTGTCTATAGAACATTTTGGGCTTTGAATATATTGACAAAATGCATACCTACTAGTCCTTGACTAGCTTATCTCATTAAGGAGTACAACAAAATTGTGGATTTGTCATCTATGAGACAGAAAAATATCCCAGCACTTTCTGCCCAACTATACAGAAATATCATTTAAAAATAATTTTAAGTTTGCATCCTATTACAGCAAGAAAAACACATTAAAGAAGAAAATTTAACAAATAGACTGAAGCTCTCCTTCAGCTAGTCCATTTATAATAAAAAAAGCAAGCAATGATTTTCTTTCACAGAACTTTATTAAGTCTCTGAGGAATGCTAGTATTTCATAGAATGTAGTCTGGAAAACTGATTTCAACTAGATATCACACTTGTAATTTAGGGGGGGGGGAATTAACAATGTATTTTATGTGTCTATTTAAGAAAACACAACTAAGTAATTTCTTGACCCAAAGTTCAGTCCATGATTATAACTTAAGGACAGAAATTTCTGATCCACTAAGGAGCTATGAAGAACTGTTATGATTCCTATAAAATATATTTACAGCAACTCAACATTTTTTCAATTTTAATTTCATTCTTTGGCAAGAAGACTTCTAGAATAACTTTAAAAATATAAATAATCAGATAACTCCTGTTAGTTTTCAGGCTTACAATATACAAAATGTAGGGCAAAATGAAAAGGGCTGAGGAGGGAAAAAGAAAAAACCCCACTAGCTCTAAAAGCTTATCTTGACCAGAATGAAAAGAATTCAAGTACATAGTAGCTGCCACCTGAATGACAATTACAAAAAGCTCAAATCAGCTAGTCTGAAAAATAGGAAATAAAATACATTTATTTCTTTCTGATATAATTCTATGTGATGATTATCACTTAAATACAAGGAAAAAATAACCAAATCAGTTAGCTCCACTAAGAAACTAAGTACAATAATACCTGATAGCCTTGCTAGGCCCAGCGCCATGACCAGTTCCAGGTGTTTTAAGTGAAGTACCAGGTCCTATCAAACAAACAAACAAAACAAAACAAAATCACGATGTTTATATTTTATAGATACTTTCCTATACATGTTTCTTTTACCATTTATCTTTTGGTGCCGTCTCCAGGTTTTTTAAAATAAAACCCAAAGAGAGAAGATTCAAAGCACAGATGAAGAGTGAAGTGCCACAAATAAAATTTGACACTATTATTTGTTTGTTTAAAAAAGCACTGTTTTATTTAATCACAGCATGGTAAGTGGACTCAGAATCAGTCAAAACTATAAAGAGAAGATAATTCCCTTATGCAAACAAAATGCTAACTGTGAAGCACTGGAATTACATTCATAATAAAGTAATTAAAACTAGAGATTTTAATTAGTGTACTGAGGATTTTGCTTGAAAATCAATTTCTTAGCTTGTTGCAGTATTGATTGAATACAAAGTGTACATGAAGATTATTTACTCACTAAAGACAACTGATATTTTATAGGTATATGAACATTTTAACAAGAAATGTATGGTTGAATTCTAAACTGTAATATTAATTGACATAAATGTACTATTTTATCAAAACTGAAGATAATAATTTTAAAGAAAATACAAGATAATAGTTTAACTAGTAGCAGTCACTCATTCCATAGAACAGCTTTGGGGGGGGGGAGAAATTAACCATTAAAAAGGAATGTTAGTATCCTAGGGAGGGAATCATGAGCTGCTTCTTGCAATGTATTTTGGAGCACATATAAATGCAGCTTACGTGCAACTTGTGCAATTGCATTTTCATCCAGCATCATTTCAGCTATGCCTTCCTGATCCACTTCAACTTCATCCACATAAACCATTTCAGTTAATGCTCGCATTTTTAAACACCAAGCAGCCTAAAATAGAGATGGAGAGGAAACAAAGCCCAGTAAACTAAAACGTCTACTAAATATATTCAAGGTTTTAAAAATCAATTAGAATACAATAGGCCAGCAGTAGATTATTTGACACTTATGGGAAAGGAAAAAATAAAATGGACGTTGGGATACAGAGATTTTGGCTGCACTATTGTCTTCAATGCAAGCATTAGACATAAAAAACATGTCAGAAGAACTAGAGAAATATGTGAGGAAGACCTCAAGAAGAATGCAGACAATACATTCATCCAGTTGACAGATGTTTACAAATGCTTAGTCACTCCCAATATTACATTAGAAGGGAGAGATGTTTTTATCATGTACTCTACTGCCTCTGTCATCTATAAGCAATAGTATGTTCCATTTCAAATTAGGCAGAATCTGTAGGTGATGCTACTGAATATTTAATTACATTTTGATAGGGAAATAAAAGGATTTGTGCAGCTGAGCAGATAGTAAATGATGCTAGGTACAAGGCACCGGTAACACCATTCCTGTGTGGGCTGTACTGCTTACCAGTCTCCAGGTGCAATTCTAGGTGCTGATGGTTACCTTTAAAGCCCACCATGGCTTAGGACCCGGGTACCTGAGAGATCACCCTTTTCCAAGAATCTCTACCCATCCAACCAAGTTGAGCAGAATGGCATGCTGCAGATCCTGTTAGCCAAAAATGTTAGCTGATGGGAATCAGAAGGTGAGTTTTTTCTGCAGTAGCCCTTATTGATTCTATGGAACATTCTCCCTTCAGAGATCAGTACGGCCCCAACTCTGTTGGCCTTTCATAAGGCCCTAAAAACCTGGCTATATTCCTGAGCCTGGGGTGCTGAATGCCCCATTTCCTGGCTCTATTACTAACTGGCCAAACATCTTGCTCTTATATATATATATAATTTGGATGTTTTAGAGTTGTTATTGGACTTACTGTTTTAAAATATTTTTAATATTTCTAACTGTAATATATTTTTTTAATTATAAGCCACCAGGAATCATTGAGATGGGTGGACATAGAAATTGAATAGATAAATACATTTGTGCATTTTAGAACTCCATGCAAATCAGTTTGACTCTATGTTGCATGCTGCTGCCTCATGCAGTATCATGTGATCGCTCCTAGAAAACTTTCTCTCAGCAGCCAGATCCTGAAGCAATAAAGGCAACTAAAATCCTAAGTTGCCTCTTCCCTCATTCTTTCCAGACATCTTCAGAAACAACACATCAATCTAGGACTAATATGTTGATCTCATGCATTAATTTATCCTGATGGCAGAGTGGAAGTTTATTTGTTTAAGCACAAATAACAAATTTAATAAAGTACTTGGTTGGAGAAGAGCATTTGCTATAGGCCTGCTTTATTCTACTGATTCAATACAATTTTGGAATCAAGATAAACTTAACTTGAACCTATATGACATTTATTTTGTAACACAATTCTAACTGTAGGAAGTCATTTAAAAGTTTGAGAGGATTTTAATAGACAGCCCCAATAAATATTATAATATTAATGATAGCTGAAAACCCTGTTTCCACTTAATGCTTTTTATATTTTTTTATCCCACCTTTATTTTTATAAATAACTCCAGGCAGAGAACAAATCTATACTAATATAGTGAAATGGGAATCATAAAGAATCCTAGTGAATCTTGCTTCTTTTTAAAACAAAAGTATACTTAATATAAACAAAAACATGAAGAGGCCTCCCTTTCTCTTGGTGAAGAGACAGTTTGATGAAATATGCCTGTTATTGCTCTGTCCTAAGCCATAATGTGATTTATTTATTATGTGCGAACTTGGCCACTAATTTTTGTTTAACCAAATACCCTAATTTAGTTTTATATATAAACTCAGTAACTAACTAACAATGACTGATTTAGAAATTCTATATATAGTCGGAGCTTGTACATATTAATCTAGGTTTTCTAGAAAATGATTTATTGAATAAAACACAACATACTAAGTCATAAATCATAGCTAACAGACCACAAAAGCTGTATTCATGTAATGAAAAATGAAACAAACCACATGAGTTTACGTTTTGACAAAATATAAACTCGGATATAATGCAGATTGAAATACATATATTTTGAAAGTAGTAAACACTTTTAAACATATTTATATTAAATCAATAAAATATAGTAAATGAAGTGCTTAATCTCATATATTTTTTCAGAATTTATTAGACAATGAATATATAAGTCATATAAATTAGTTTGTAACTTCTTTTAAAATGAAATTCAATGGTGAAAAAAGCAAGGTTCTACATTTAGGCAAGAAAAACCAAATGTACAGGTATAGAACAGGGGGTACCTTGCTCAATAGTAGTAACTGTGAGAGGGATCTCGGAGTCCTAGTGGACAATCATTTAAATATGAGCCAGCAGTGTGCTGCAGCTGCCAAAAAAGCCAACACAGTGCTAGGCTGCATTAACAGAGGAATAGAATCAAGATCACGTGAAGTATTAATGCCACTTTACAATGCCTTGGAATACTGCATCCAGTTTTGGTCACCACGATGTAAAAAAGATGTTGAGACTCTAGAAAGAGTACAGAGAAGAGCAACAAAGATGATTAGGGGACTGGAGACTAAAACATATAAGGAACGGTTGCTGGAACTGGGTATGTCTAGTTTAACGAAGAGAAGGACGAGGGGGGACATGATAGCAGTGTTCCAATATCTCAGGGGCTGCCACAAAGAAGAGGGAGTCAAGTTATTCTCCAAAGCGCCTGAAAGCAGGACAAGGAGCAACGGGTGGAAACTAACCAAAGAGAGAAGCAACCTAGAACTAAGGAGAAACTTCCTGACAGTTAGAACAATTAACCAGTGGAACAACCTGCCTCCAGAAGCGGTGAATGCTCCAACACTGGAAGTTTTTAAGAAGAAACTAGACAGCCATTTGTCCGAAATGGTATAAGGTTTTCTGCCTGAGCAGGGGGTTGGACTAGATGACCTCCAAGGTCCCTTCCAACTTTATCATTATTATTTATTATTACTAGTCTGTGTAGAGTAAATATAAAATGAATCTTTCCATTTGCGTGAAGTGCTCTGTAATCTATAATGATCTCCATTCCAAATCTCTCACTGGCTTATATATTTAGGTATTTAAAACATTCATATAGCTGCCCATCTTATAGAAAACTCTATGGGGCTCCAAATCAAAAATTAAAACAACATAAAAACCATATAAATTATAAAAACCAAACACATTAAAAAAAAACCATGCCAAAGCCAAGCTTCCAATATATAGTCACCTCATGTTATTCTAGTGCTTGTGGGAAAATCCAGCTCTTCAATGCTTTATGGAAGGCTGGGAAGGTAGACGCCTGCCATACTTTAGGTGGAAGTGTTCCACAGGGCAGGGCAGCCATAGAAAAGGCTACTTCCTAGCTCCCACAAGATGGCAATATTTAAGGAAAGGGACTAGAAGCATGCCCACCTACCTGACCTAGTAGGATGGGTAGATATTCTAAGGGAAAGATGGTCCTGCAGATAACCTGGCCATATGTGATATTTAAAGGTGATAACTGACATCTTAAATTGCACCTGAAAAGAAACTAAAAGCCAATACAGCTCAGACATCAGAGATGTTACATGGGCAAACCTAGGGACACCCAGAACTGCTGCCATGTTCTGGACGAATTGAAGTTTCTGGGTGCAATTCAAGGGTAGACCCATGCAACAGAGCATTGCAGTAATCTAATAATTTTTATCAGTTTTGATGAAGGAATAAAAGTTGGAAGAATATGAATATTTAACCATTTGCACTGTTAAATAGTAAAGCATTTAACATTGTCTTATTTATGCTATGGCAATATTTACACCGTTGGGAAAAGAGATAAACAGCACAGTTTCATTTTGAATTGGTATTTTCCCCTTAAGAACACGGCAATCAACTTTTCAGTCAAACTTGTAGGGTATAATGCAATATGCTTAGTTTTAAATACAAAGATTTGAAATTACTTAACTGCTGATGTTAAAAAGAAAAAATAAACTACAGTAAACTATAAAGTTTACAGTAAAGTTTTTTCTTCTGTTCAATCATGTCCGATTCTTAGAGACTGCCTGGACACATTGCTGCAGTTTTCTTCTTGGTTTACCAATGCCTCCTTCCTAGTATTCAGAAAAAGTGACTGACTGAAAGTCACTCAGCTAGCTTCATCCCAAAGGACTAGAAGTCACAATTTCCCAGTTTCTAGTCTGATATCTAAACTACTATACCAAAGTGGCTCTCAAACTATACAATAGTTGATATAACAAAAATAAACTTGGGTATGTAAAGTTAAGCTCAAAGATGCTTTCCTGGAATCAGAAAGGGATATGACAACAGAGACCCTACTCAAGGTCACTTAACGAATACATAGTGATAGAATGAAGATTTTTTTAATCAATTAGTATGAATTTACACACATATTTTCTAACAGTTAATATTTTAAGATGATATCTCTCCATCTGTTCATTGTATTCATTATGTCTTCAAAAGGCATGAAAGTAAAATCAGCAGTGAAATATAGTATTAGGATGAGTTAAGAAATTTTCTTTAAAATCAAAATCTGACATCAAAGTATTATGTGTATGTGCAAAGAAAACCATAAAATTATGCAATTCAACATAAGCTGTTCATCTACTTTTCTTTGTGTACTTCACTACTATAAATCAGTACTGTTTCCTGGTCTTTAAATTGACATATGGAAAATAAAGAACAATAATCAGATTAGGCAAGCGATCAGGATGATCAACCAAGATAGTAGGACAGAAACATGTCCCTTTTAGGTCATGCTACAGTTATAAACAAAGAAGCTACAAGGAATTTAATAAGGTTAATGAAAGCTTCTTTCTGGCAGCTGATTTATATCCTTTCACAGAAATTAATTTTAAATAATGTTTACTTAAAAGGAAATCCTACTAAATTTCTTGAATCCTGCTTTCTAATAAGTATCAGGAGTACATTTAATTGAAGTCACAATGCACATTTCACCATTATCATGGTTAAGAATGGATTCATATAACTACTTGGTAAGTCAGCCTTCTTTCTGAATTACAAAACGTAAAATAAAGAGGAAAATAACACCTTTAATTTTTTAAAAAAAAACAACAAAAAACTTTATCAAAATGTTGACTATGAATAAATGTGGAATAAAATAAACAAATCAGGCCTGTATTGATTGTCTGATATCAAAGGGAAAAAATTGATGGAATTTACAAAATAAATGTAATAGGCCTATGTTATTAAAGCTATGGAAAAACAAAATGGACTAAGGGTATAAAGAAAGAGAATGAAGAAAGAAACCCCAAAACCCTAATAGCGTATTATATGTGGAAAAAACGGAAAGATTCTTAAATAGCCACAACACAAAAATGATTGAAAAAGTGGGAGGACTTAGCAGAGATGGCAAAACTAATTAGAAAAAGATCAACAACTATATTTATCAGTGATTGGAAATCACCTTATGGACTTTTCGCTGAAAACAAGAGACATGTAAAATTAGAATGTATACTAAACACAAACAAAACAAAAAACAAAATTGTACTAGAAAGACAAAAGCAACTCTACATTAAAATGATACATTTAGAAAAATCAGGATGCCTTTTTTTTAGCAATTTCCTAAAAAGGAGGTGATGAAACATAACTATGCAGTCTATGCATATATAAAGGGTGATATAACATAATGAGAACCACAGTTTTAATATTGCTTTATCAAAAGTGCAGAATCTTATTGTGTACAGAACAGTAATAGCCATTGAAACTACATTAAGGCATGCTAAAGGCAGAGTTTTTGTATACGTGAGGAGAATTTTGATTTAAATAGCTTGCTGGCTTAAAAAAAGAAAGATTACTCTAGGAAGGAAAGCTTGATCTCACTTTCTTTCCAAATTCATAATACATTGCTTGGCACTAAGCACCACCCATCCATAACCAATAGTAAGAAACATATCTTGTGCTTATGTTTATATTTTAACCCTTAATGTTCTGAAGATCTTGTAAGATATGTTCCAATTCTGTAGTATGGATAAGTCACTTATATATCTAAAAGAATTATAGTGCAGAACCTGTTTCTGCAGCAAACAGCTTTTAGCCTTTTCAGCAGAATACTTTTAAATAGAGTTCTCAGCAACTGCCTCTCCCTGGTTATAAGCATCCTACCTCATTCTCATGGAGAAGATATCCTGCAGGTCCCATCAGCTAGAGACCTACATTGGTGAGTCCCACTAGATGTACCTTCTGTTATTGCACCCATCTTACAGAACATTCTTACTCCTGAAATTAGATCAGTGTTTCTCAACCTTGACAATTTTAAGGCATGTGGACTTCAACTCCCAGAATTCCACAGCCAGCATTGGCTGGCTGTGGAATTCTGGGAGTTGAAGTCCACATGCCTTAAAATTGTCAAGGTTGAGAAACACTGAATTAGATTGACTACAACTTTTCTATTTTTTTTGAAAGGCCATCAAGACCTGGTTATGCTGCTAAGCCTGAGGTTCTATACATCTTTTTAATATGGTTCTGCATTTCAGTTAAGCAAACTTATGAGCATCCCTAGGTGGAAAATGACAACATACTCATAAATATGTTGTTATTTTGGCTTCATTAGTTTCAATGTTTGTTGTAGATGTGGAAGTAGTTGAAGCTTTTATCCTATATAATGTTTTAGTTTTAGTTACATCATGAGAGATAGTTACATATTTGCAGAGTTTACACATCAAGCTCAGGTATATTGTGGTTGGTTTGGTTTTGACACAGAGTAAGATAATATAAAGCAACTGCAATTTGTATGTTTTTAAAAACATTGTTTTTATCATAGGTGGAGCAAAACTGCACCTGCCTTATATGCTATCCTTATTAGATTTTCATCCCACTTTTACTACTTTATAAATAACTCAAGGTAGCAAACATACTAATACTACTTCGTCCTATTTTTCCCACCACAACCTTATGAGGTGGGTTGGGCTGAGAGTCACCCAAAGCTACCCAGCTGGCTTTCATGCCTAAGGCAAGACTAGAACTCATGGTATCTTGGTTTCTAGGCCAGCACCTTAATGGTATGTTTGTAACTTCAGAGGTGCAAGGTTCAGTTAAATTAGTCTCAAAATAAAGTAAATTTAGCTCATCCAGTTGTGTGTCCCGTACGGTTTACCTGGAATGGCCGACATCAGTTTTGCAGTCTAAAGGTACAAACTTCCCGCTGATACTTTTAAGAGTCTGATCAATTAGGGTTTTTTCCCTAAGTTTCTTTGTCTGACCATTAATTGATTGCAGGCTCTTATCAGATAGGCTACATTTCTTTCCCTTGTCCCCCAGTCACCCGCACATTCCTTTAATTCTGTTAACCATCAGTTAATGATGGTACTTGGAACAGACATTGCTGTCACTAAGCAAGTCATAAAGCACATCACATGACCATGCTACTTAATGATAGGACATCTGGCATGTCCAATTGCCATTGTTAAACAAATCCTGCATCATTGTTAAGTGAGGACATCAAATGATCATTATTTGCAATCTCCTGCTGCTGCCTGATTGCTTGTAGAAAGCCGGAAAAGAAGATGCAAATAGCAATGATGTGACCTCAAGATGTTACAACCTGGAATTTTAAAGGCTGGCACTAAGTACCACTTGTTCAGTACCATCACAAGTTGGAATGGTGGCTGAATGAGTGGCTGTTAAAAGAGAACCACCTGTATTTGAAATCATGTCAGCTATTAACTGGATTGTGACCTGTCTCAAATTTATCTAAATAATAAGTTTCATTAAACTAGAATTTTTCTTCCATTATTAATTGACATATTGGGAGATACAGTTTCCAGTTATGAGCACTGCTGGAGTTAAAACCCTCTGGATTATCTTGTTCCAGCTAATTCATTACCCAGAATATGAAATGCAGGAAAGGCACCGTCACACGATTTTACAAAACGCTTGCGCCAAAAAGCAAATATCTGCAGATATCAAAAAGAGTAATTACTAAATCAAGGCATCCACCCAAGGCCAGGTTTTACATTTTTCCTGAACTCGGAAACATCACATCCACGCTTGCAGCCCCTGCCCTGTCTCTCATTACCTGATCGCCAGGCTCCTTTTCCAGCAACTGGGAACACAGATCCGAACAGAGTTGGAATTTCCTCCGCCTGAAATAACTCAAGGCATGGAGCAACGGGTCCATTTCCAGGGCCATAAGCGAGGCAAACCACTAATAACACCACGCTAACACCCCCCGCCCCCGCTTCTACTTAGGCCCGGCGTCTCAGCTTAGTTTTGCCCAGCAACGCTACTTGGGGTCCTTGGAGAAGCAAAGGCGACTAAACAACTGCCTGAAGGGCCAGAGAGTGTTTCCCTCCTGTCTCAGAAAGAAGACGGTCCGGCAAAGAAGCCGGAACATTTCGGTGCCGGCAATGACTGCTGAAACTTTTAGAGTTTGCGGATTATGCCTGATTTCTCTGCCTTCGTCCTTGATTCACCTCTTTTTTTCGGGAACATTAGGGGTTTCTGACTTGTTTCCTCTCGTTATGTGGCATGAAAAATGCTTAAAATAGCATTTTTTTTGTAGCGTGCAGAACCAAGAAATTTCATGTGTTGATGGTTCGTGATTTGAACTTCATAAACATAGCAGAGGAAATTACTTGGAGAAATAGAGTTAACATAATTTTAGCCGTTAATAATTGTCCTTGATTAGTGGCAGGTAGATAAATATATTCCACGATTGCATGATAAGTCAAAATTTGAGAAACTAATGTACTGCTTGGTGTATGATTAGAAAATGTACTATGTGGTTCATTTGTGGTTCAGTGTGTTATGCAAAATTCTGAAAATTGAGTTAACTTTGGAAAATCTGGGGTCAATTTTTCTCTGCGTAATACGCACGGTTATTATTGTTATGGATAAAACGGGGTTTTTATCTCTCTTTCTGAAGGAAATATACATATGGGTGTGTTTATATTTTCGTATGTGAGATAATTGGGATCAATTGATGTTATAAATGGGGAATCTTACACTTTCTATCCTTCATCAGATATATATAGACATATGTATAAATAAACACACAGGTGCATATGCAAGTATTTTTTGAAAAAGAGAAAGTATCCAGGATTCCTTTCAGCTGATGTTTGCAGTTTTAAATTGACAATATTTTACAGGTTTTTGTCAATATTTATAATACTTTATTAATATTTATAATACTTTAGTATATCAACCTCTTTTAGAATGGAAAAATTCTTAAATTCAAGTCCATTTTTCTTGGGGTGAATAAAAAGTGTGATATTTGTATCTAGCTGTTATTTTTTTGTTAATGATCACAAGTTGTACTGAATACTTTAATAGTTATATTGTTATTGTATTAATTATAGACTGAATTTGGTTTGAACAATCAAGTGAAATTGAACTAATTTACTGGAAGAACTCTAGATAGGTATCTAATTTACTGTATTCCCATCAGCTGATATCAACAATATGATTCTATCAGTTGCTAAATTCTTGATTTTTACTTCATTACAGATTGTTAAGGATACATTCTATTTTTGAAGTTGCTTAATATTTAAAAAAAAATAAAGATTTTAAAATTATTTCAAATGTATAAGAGTAAGCAGCATTTAAATGGCCACTTCATACCATGATACTTAGCCATGATACTTCTCTTTTAACCTGTCTACTTACCTGAGCTGCAGAATTTCAGATGACCATTTGGTGGAACAATTATCTCCAGATTTTTACAGGCCAGATATCATAGCCATACATTTCCCCTCTCACCCCATCTCCAAAATCTTGGGGTTGTTCTAGCAGTCCACTCAAATATTAGGTGTTATTAAAAAATGTCAAGCCAGTGAAAGGAAAAATATCCATAGGATCTGACTTTACATACTGTGCTAAGCTATAATTTTTCATTATGGTTGAATAAACAGTAATTGCTGGATTCAACTGAACATTAAGATATTAGTCATGGTTTATAAATAACATTGTGGCTTAGCATAATGAGACAACCTGTCTCTTTCTCTATGTAAGGCAGGGGTGTCAAACTGCCAGCTCGCGGGTCGGATGCGTTATGCTGAAACCGCACCCAGCCCATTGCCGGCAAAAGAAAAAAAGTCATGATACGTCGCAACATGTCACGTGACATTGCGAGTTTGACACCCCTGATGTAAGGTGTCAACAGTTAAAAGCTAAACTTCTGAGATCAACGTAGGAGGTCCTTTCCTGTTTATCTACTTGTCAAGCAAATTAGGTTGATAGTCATAAGATGTAGAACTCTCTTACTATGGTAGTGTTCTCCCCCACCCCCCAAATTCCAATGGAATTACAGGCCTTCTAGGTTAGTCCTGAAATATCTATTTACCTATGTTTATATTTTATAAATATAAAAAACTGTTTCAGTTTCAGTTAAAACTGACCCTGACTCTCATCTTTGTATATTCACATTAAAATAAAATAACTAACAAAGGAACATAAGTAATAATTAGCATATCCATAGAATGTGGTTTTTTTTTTTTACACAATGACCTTAAAAAGGATGAAATATCAGAATGGCATGCTATAAAATTATAACTGTTATAAAAATTATAATTCTTCTGCTTGGCCTGAGGAACTCAATGCAGTAGTACCATTCTGTAGATGGCTATTCAACTAATAGCAGGTAGACTAATAATTAATTTTAATATAACACATAATGTAAAATATGGAAAGCAGTTATGTCAGAAATACTGTAGCTAGATGATCTCTCCTTTGGAAATGTATAATATACAAGTAAATAAAATAAATAAGTGAGGAATTTTGCCAGCTATTGGTAAATAAAATATAAGTTGGCTATATAGACCAAGGATCTGACTTTCCATATAGAAGCTTAATATATTCATATGTTAAGTATGCATATGTAACAAGCTTGTTAATCTTTTTCATGATTCTTAGTTGCAAAGCAGATGGTGAATTAATTCTGTGAGGCAAAATGCAAGATAGATTTAATGTGCTGATAGCCTGGGTTTATTGCACCATTAACCACCTAGAGCAGTTTCATGGTGTACAATGTATCTCAATCAGCTAATTTTAATGCAAGCTAACTCTATCTGTACTCTAGCCATTCTCTTTACTTCAGTTTTCCCATAAACTGGGAAAAAGTGTTGCCAGAAACACTGGAAATCATTATTCCGATTGTCCACTTTAGTTTGCTATTCTACGGTTCAGCGCAACCATTTATACAATTAGCTAGTAGGTTGGTGTCTGCTCTTATTTGGTATATATATGGCAATGCCCCCTCAAACAACATGTACCCAGTTCCTTTCATCATTCCTTGCAGGACTTGATTTCCTGGCCCCTCGTTATACTGGTAGTTCTCCCCAGAATTCTGATTTGTTGATGTTAAACTGCAGCCCATGGAATTTGATACAGAATTCTAACTAAAGCCTGGACAAGGGAAAATAGAGGGGACAATTGCTTATCATGATCTGGAGTCTATATTTCAAAATTGCCTTTGCCTTTTTAGCAGCTGCATCATATTCAATTTATGATATGCTATGTCATTCCCCACACAGTACTGCCAAGCCAGGTCTGTTCTATCTTATATTTGTGCCTTTTATATTTTCTCCATTTATTTATTTAATTTATATGACACCCATTATGGTTCGAGGAGATTCTGAGCCTTCTCTGGGTGAATAACTATTCATCCCATTCTTTCTAGCCTGCTGTTCAAACTTGTTCTTACCTTTTTAATTTTTTTCTTCTTTTCTAAAATAATAGTCACTCTTATTTTGAGTCATGTGCAAATATAACCCTTTTATTCATTAGCAAGAAAAATATCAAACAACTGATATTTCTCCAAGACGGGAACTTGAACTCCACTCCACCTCTTAAGCTCATGTGGAACTATTTAAGAGTACTTTCTGGAGGTCATCACTCAGTCACTTCTGAATCCATCTAATAGCAGTGGCATCTACTCTGTATTTTATCATTTTATTAATATGGATATCATGAGACTTTGTTGAATGCTTTGCTGAAGTCAAATACAACGTGTCCACAGCATTCCCTTGATTTGTTGGGTTAGTAACTCTATTGAAAAAGCAGGTCAAATTAATTGGCTTTTGTTCATTGTTGCTTTGCAAGTGCTCATAAACATGCTGTTTAATAATCAGTTTCAGGATTTTGCTCAGGTCTGTAACTTCCAGATTATTCTTGTTCCCTTTTTTGAAGAAAGAAACATTTACATTTACAAAGGGACCTGAATACTCAGATATTATTTGTTTTGTGTTCACCTTTGCTATTTTTTCCATTATCTCACGATGTATGGATAGTCTTTGATTAATAACTGAAATTCAGCCAGGAATTACAGTTGGAAATCATGCCAGTCATTAAGCAGGTCACCACTGACTGATCTGATTTTATAATCTCTTTTATAGTATTATTAAGTGAATATCGCAGTTATTAAGTGAATTCATTGTCCACAATGGATTTTTTTTGCCAGAAAATGGAAGTAAATGCTGGTTTCTGGTAAAAAAACATAATAAATCATGTCATCTGACCGCAGGATGCTGCAAACTACCATAAATGTGAGTTGGTTGCTGAGAATCAAAATGTGATCCGATAACTGCAGGGGTGGTGGCCAGACCATTGGAACTAGAATCCAGATTGCATATAGTCCTGAGGAGGTGCATCATAACTTCAACAAGTCACTAAGTGACAGATAAGTAAAGAACTACCTGTAATTCATCTGGCTAGTTTAAATTAGTTAAATGTTCTTGTGTTCTCTCCTTGTCTCCTTTGAAAGCTGTATGCAACAAAATTTCACTTTAATGTATGCCAATTTGTATACATTCAAAGTGACAATAAAGTTATTCTATTCTATTCTATTCTATTCTATTCTATTCTATTCTATTCTATTCTATTCTATTCTATTCTATTCTTCCATAGCCAGCTAGAGCTTTGTTATCTGAGTGAAGATTAGTAGAAAATACTATTTAAAAATTCTGCTTTCTCACCATTATTCCTTTTTTTTCTTGCAATAGATCTCTATGCTTTGGCTTTTTAAAAAAAATATATCACTTGTTTCTGAAAATGCTGTTTTCTTATTTGGGCTATTTATTACAAGCCTCAGTTCTTCCTGACCTTTAGCCTTTCTGACACAATGCTTAGTTTCTTGCAATGGCCTTATACAATATCAGCCTTTGGTTGTATGCACCTTTCTCCATTGTCCCTCCCCACTTTCTATAATTTTTCTTTTTGGAAAGTTGTGTGTGAAGACACAGGTCTGTAAATAGGCATCTCATTTTTCCCACTAGTAAGTATTTACAATTGCA